TGGAAGAGCAGCCAGTGCTCTTAACCTCTGAGCCATCTCTCCAGCCCTATCCCAGATTTTTTATAATAAAATATACACTTGATTCTCCATTGACGTTGGGCTGTCTGCATTTTTTTTATTAAATTTCTTTATTTTTTTACTTATTATGTATGCAGTGTTCTGCCTGCATGTATTCCTGCAGGCCAGAAGAGGGCACCAGATCTCATTATAGATGGTTGTGAGCCACCATGTAGTTGCTGGGAATTGAACTCAGGACCTCTGGAAGAGCAGCCAGTGCTCTTAACCTCTGAGCCATCTCTCCAGCCCCATCCCAGATTTTTTATAATAAAATATACACTTGACTCTCCATTGACGTTGGGCTGTCTGCATTTTTTAAATTTTTATCTGTCTCCAAAAACAAGCAAAAACTCTTAAGCAGGTGGGGGGAGATTTCACTCCTCTTTTTCTTTCCTTTTTTCTTCTTTCTTTCTTTTTTCTTTTCTTTTTTCTTTCTTTTTCTTTTCTTTTCTTTTTTTTTTTTTTGAGATGGTGTGTCTTAGGACCAAGCTCTCTTCTCAAACTCCTGGATGCTGAGATTACATGTGTGACTGTCACACCCTGCCCTTTTCTGTTTCAAAGGAGCTGAAGCTTCCCTGTGTCTCTAAGGGGTGATAGAGGTGTTTTGTCTTTTGAAAAGAACAGGAAGAAGCTGGGTGTGGTGTCCCAAGCCTGTCATCTTTTGCATTTAGGAGGTGGAAGCTGGGGGATCTGTTGTCCAGGATTAAAGTAGTCATCAATCTGATTACAGGCGAAGGGCAGTTTAGGCACCCTCTCCACTATTGCTTAGATTCCTAGCTGGGGTCATCCTTGTGGGTTCCTGGGAGTTTCCCTAGTGCCTGGTTTCCTGCTAGCCCCACAATGGCACTGTCTTTTGGTATCTCTTTCCTTGCTCTCCCTCTCTGTCCTTTACCCAACTCAGTCTTCTTGTTCCCTCATGCTCTCCTCCCTGCTCCCCTTCTCCCCTCCCTACTCTCCTCCTACCCCCCCACCCCCCACCCCCACATGCTGCCAATTTACTAAGGAGATCTTGACTACTTGCCCTTCCCAGGGGGATCCATATGTGTCTTTCTTAGGATTCTCCTTGTTTCCTGTCTTCCCTGGGATCATGGACTATTATAGCCTGGTTGTCCTTTGCTTTATGTCTAATATCCACTTGTGAGTGAGTCCATTCCGTGTTTGCCTTTCTGTGTCTGGGTTATCTCACTCAGGATGGTTTTTTCTAGTTCCATCCATTTGCCTGCCAATTTCAAGATGTCATTTTTTTTTCTTTTTTTTTTTTTTACTGCTGAGTAGTACTCCATTGTGCAAATGTACCACATTTTCTTTATCCATTCTTTAGTTGAGGGACATCTAGGTTGTTTCCAGGTTCTGGCTATTACAAATATTGGAGTTCCATATCCCCCAGGACTGTAATGAGACCTTGTCTTAAGAAAAAAAAAAGAGTGGGAGGGGTTAAAGGGCAGGAGAAATGGCTTGGCAGTTACAGCGATGGGATCCTCAGCACCCACATAGCAACTCACAACTCTCCCTGTAGTGCCAGTGCCACCAGATCCAGTGCCCTCTTCTGGCCGCCCAGGGCACTGCATGCATGGAGTGCAGACATACATGTAGACCAAATACTCATACACGTAAATTTAAAAAAAGGGAAAATGAAGTCCTGAAGTGTCAGGGTAAAGGCACCCAGTGCCCAACCTGGGTCCTTGGGATTGGCCTCATTTCATTCAGGCTTGGTGTCAAGTACCTTTACCCACTGATTCATCTTCCAGCCTCCCATCACATATTTAAAATTGGTAAAATAAGCTGAGTAGTGGTGGCATACATGTTTGATCCAAGCACTCAGAAAGCAGAGACAGGTGGATCTCTGAGTTTGAGGCCAGCCTGGTCTAAAGGGTGAATTCCAGGACAGCCTGGGGTACAGGGAGAAATCTTGTCTCAAAAAACAACAACAACTAATAATAATAAAATTGGTAAAATAATTCACCTTAGTACTGTGTGAGGTTGATAATTGAAGTAATTTTGTGTGTGTATGTGTGTGTGTGTGTGTTTGGCACTGGGAATTGAATCTGTTTTTTTACACATGCTAGACAAGTATTCTGCTACCAAACTCTGTCCTGAGCCTTTATTTTAATTTTTATTTCAAGACCATCTTATTAAATTTCAAAATTTAGCTTTAAACTCACTCTGCAGTTCAAGCTTAACTTTTGATTCTCCTGCCTCAGCCTCCTGAGGAGCTGGAATTCATTTTACAGGCTTGTATTACTATAGCCTATAATTGAAGTAACTTTTGCTAACTATGGTCACAGGCTGCCTGCCAAGGTGTCTGGAGAAGGGTAGGTGCTCTCAGGTTTGCAAACTTGCTCTCTGAAGCCTGAGGTTCTCCAGTGGAAGCAGAAAGCGTATGGTGGGAGGTGTTCCACATTGTAGGCCCCAGGCTGGGCTGCCCCACCTGTCCTCCAGTCCTGCGCATTCTGGCACCACTGCCCACCCCAGTGCCTGTGTGGGGAGGGATGATACCCCGAGATCTTCATATCTCCTCACCCCATCCTGCCGCAGGAGTCAGGCCTCATCCAGCTCCTGCGTCGGGACATAGCGGCAGTGTTTCGAGACCACCGGATGATTGCCGTCTGCCAGAACGTGGCCATGAGCGCAGAGGACAAGCTTCTCCTGCGGCACCGGTTGCGGAAACACGGGATCTTGATGAAAGTCTTCCCCAACCAGGTGGGGTTGCCCCGACTCAGGCCTGCCTTCCTCCTGTGCCTGCTGAGGGGACCTGGGAGCTGCTGCTCCTGAAGGACACCTCCAACCTCTGTTCTAGTAGACAAGCTACCCTAGTCTGGTGCCTAAACTGTGGGTAGGGGCTGAGGAGACACTGAGGCACAGCCTGGGGCTAAGGTATGTGGCTTTTCCCTCTTGTCCCCCATTAGCCGTTCCTTCCTGTGATCCCAGGTCCTGAAGCCTTTTCTAGAAGATTCCAAATACCAAAACCTGCTACCCCTTTTTGTTGGGCACAATCTGCTGCTGGTCAGTGAAGAGCCCAAGGTCAAGGAAATGGTGCGGATCTTAAAGAGTGTTCCCTTTCTGCCACTGCTCGGTGAGTGGGCAACCCTGCCAGTCAGAGCCTCTGGTGGCTGAGGCCTGAATCACCGTATTTCTTGGGGACTGATGTGTCACTGAGTACCTGTGCTGTGTCACCACCCCACATCATTTCTGTACTGGAGGAGCGGGAGCAAGGGTGTCTCCCAGTGAGGGGAGGGGCATCGGGCCCTCTGAGTCTTACCTGTCAGGTGCTGGGTACTGGGGAAGGTATCAGTATCTCTTGGGCCAGCCAGATAAGGTCCTGCTGCCAGACCTGGGGATCTGAACTCAGTTGCCATGACCCACAGAGTGGGGGGAGAGAACTGAGTCCCAGAAGTTGTTTGTGGTATGTGCACACCCCCTAATAAATAAGTAAAAACATTGAAAAATAATAAGGAAACAAGTGTCTCAAATAAACAGGGCTAAGGACCAGTGCTGTGACCATTGTGTTGGGGTTCAGTCTGTAGAGGAGACTGCTCGTGTCCCCAGAAAATTCAGATTTCCTAGGAACTTATATTTATAGTCATGCCCCAGACACTCCAAGGTTTTCTTTCCCTAGTATTTCATTGCAAAGTACACACAGCATGGTACACACCATCCTCCCGGCATGTAAGTGTGTAGTTGAGTGGTTGGACACACGGTAGTGTCGTGCAGGTGGCACCCATGCATCTCCATCACTGTGCATCTGTGTCATTTAGACGGCAGCTCATTTCCGCACTCAGGAGCCTGTCTCCAAAGAAGTTAGGCTGTTTGAGACGAGGTGCTTGTTTTCAGGGAAGGAGGAGGAGATTGATGCCCAGCAGCAGAAATGGGGTGAGGCACAAGTGTGACCCTGATTTTAGGGCCAGCTGGAAGGGGGGGGCACTGGAGAGCAGGTTCTTGGGTTGGGATGATGTCTCTCAAGAAGAGCACTTTCAGGGAGCCCAACTGCCCCGTGGTCTTCCAGGTGGCTGCATCGATGATACCATCCTCAGCAGGCAGGGATTCATAGACTTTGCCAAGCTGCCTAGCCTGGACCTGCTGCAAAGGGAGCTGGTTGGAGGACTCACTTGCCTTGTGGCCCAGACCTGCTACCTGCTTCAGCACCAGCCTGCCCAGCTGACTTCGCTGCTGGATCAGTATGTCAGACAGCAGCATGAGGACGAGTCTGCCACGCCAGCCAGCGGGAAGCCCCCTCCTCCTGACCCCGCTCCGGAGCCATAACCCACCTGCTGTACCCAGCTCTGTCCCTGGGGTCTGGTAGAGATCTAAAAGAATTTGAGGTGTGGGTGTGGCATGTGTGACTTGGCTCTCAGTGACCTCCTTGGGGACAGGCCTCTTGAAGATATAGAAAAATTCTACTTCAGGGAGCTGGAGAGGTGGCTCAGTGGTTAAGAGCATTGCCTTCTCTTCCAGAAAAATTCCACTTCAGAATGAGGCTGTACATTGTCTTCAGATGCACTAGTCACTGTCTTTAGTTGTCCCAACTAGGGAGCTGATAGGAACAGCCTCCTTCAGCTCTCCAGGCACCTAGCAGAAGATGGCGATTGTCTCGCCCAGCCCTCTTGGCCACTGTCCCTTGTCTGTGTCTTCCCAGCCACCCTCTTGGTTCCTCCGCATGCCATGATGGACTTTGTGAATGGCCCCGCTGAATCCTCTGCTAAGCACTGTACTAAACACAGGTGCCAGCTCCTTACCATTCAGGAAAGAGCAGAGTTTGAAGTCCTGGATAAGGCCTTGAATTTGATTCTCTGAAGCCTCAATTTTCCTTAGTAGACCTTCTTCATAAAGTTACCCAGGAGTGGGTCCTGGGTGAGCTCAGAGCTTAGTGTCCCGCCCTGGGATGTGCTGGGCTGTGGAAGGGGTAAGGAAACTTCTTCGTGATAAAAATAAAATACGTTTTATGGACTCTTGTCTTTTAAGATTTCTGTGTAAAACTGTGCTTACGTTTAAATCTCTGTGCCATGTGTATGCCTCATACTTATGCTCAGAAAAGGGCATCAGATCTGGAGCTAGAGGTGCTGGTGAGGTGAACCACAGTGTGGGCGGGAAATCGAACCTGAGTCCTTCAGAAGAGCAAGTGCTGACAGCCGAGTCTCCAGCTCTGGGTTATCTCAAGGCATCTCTGAATTCTCGCTTTCCTTCCTAAAAAAACCCTCCTTCCTAGTCACCTACCCTTACAGATGTCATGTCCTCATGAAGGCTGTGGCTGGTGGCACAAAAAATCTGGGGAAACTAGAATTCACTTTCAATATGGGCTCTGGGGACTGCCGCAGGAGCCCCTCCCTGGGTCTTGGGGGGCTGTCACAGCTGGTCCTCCTCAGGTCTTGGGGGGGCTGTCATAGGAGGCCCTCCCTGAGTCCTGGGGGGACTGTCTCAGAAGGCCCTCCTCAGGTCTTGGAGAGCGGTACTTCTAACAAGAAAGGTGCTTAGCCTGTGGCCTGCATGGTCCTTGATTGGACGGATGGTGTTGAATGAGGAGCGGCTCCTCAGCACTCCTTCCCAGACTTGGAGCAATGCCACAGCATCTTCAGTCCTGGACAGACTCTAGGGTTGGAGATCTGCAGCAGCTATACCCTGGCCTGGGCCAGGACCAGCTTCTTACCGAGCCCAGCTCTGCGGATGCCCAGGGATGCTCAATCATTTAAAAGGCCCTTGAGGCTCTGAGAGTCAGCAGCTTTGCTCAGTGCCACTGGGTGGCTCTGCTTCCAGAGGCCTACCTGGTGCTGCCCACTGGGCTACTCCCTCCTGGAAGGCTATATCCATGCTGAGGTTCTGAAGGGAGCCCAGACACCAGGTATCCCTGAGGTGACAAGGTGGAGCAGACAAGTGACCCACATCACTTCTGAGGCCATAGTAGAGCCTTCACACCCATATCCGCTTGCTGGTGCCACCATTTCTTAGACACCAAACCTGTCAGTCAGAGCACATCCATTTGGATGAGTTGTAGACATTTCTCAAGAGCCAATTCTTGATTACTTCAGCAACTGAACTTAGTGTTCCAGCAGTGGGTAAAGGTGTCTGAGGGTCAGGGGAGGGACCCCCAAGTTGGCTTTCCTTTATAACAACCAGCTGGTGATTGCCCCATAGCTGTTCCCACCCCAGACACTCACTGCACCGGCATCTCATGATCCCCACAGCCGACCTGGTAGGGAATCGCAATGCTAGCAGTGAATAGCCTCTGGGTTTTCAGCTGTCCCTTGTCCCTTGAGTGGCCTGCTGACTATGCTTCTGGCATAGTTTGTCGCGTCCCAGAGTATGTAGGGGTGGTGTGAGATGGGAGGATGTCTTCGTCCCTTCCCAGTCAACCTGACATCTTTGCTGGTCCAAAATGTGCCCTCTATTTCAGGTGTAAACCGAGAGGCCAGCCAGGGTGAATCAGGAAATGGCCTTGAGTACTCCCAGGGTCAAGGCCACGCTAGCCAGAATAAATCCTTTACCTCCTGCGGCTGGAAGCCAGCATTTTTGCAGTCCTCTGATTCATGTGGATCTGTGCCCAGTGGGGACTGCGCCCCTCAATTCCAAGTCACTCGGTATCACTCAGTTCTTAGTCCTCCCGGGAGCAGGGGGGCAGAGTTGAGCGGCAGCCCGGAGCTTGGCGGGAGGAGGCGACGGGGGAGGGGCAGGTGGGGAGATCCGGCTGGAGGGGAGGCTCCGACGTCTCCTTCCTTCCTGGTTCCTGCAGCAGCTGCTGCCACTGCTCAGCTCTGTGAAGAGGTAGCTGGCGACTCAGGGACAGTGACTCAGAGGCGGATCAGTGTACGGACCAAGGAGCACTGGCGTCCATGGACCCTGGGGTAAGGGGGCCTTGCTGGCACCACTTGACATTCCTGGGAGGGCTTCTTCTCCTCTGGAGCTGGAGGGTCTGCTCCTCCAGTGAAGAGGCAGAGAATGGAGGTGGTTAGGGGGACACTCACCTGGCTCATCTCCTTCCTACTGGTAGACACCTCCCACCTCTACCGGGAGCCAGCAGTGAATGGCCCAGGTCCTAGGGGCCCTGACAAGGGCATAGAAACACCCAAACACCGGAAGAGTTTGGAAACTTCAAATGGCCAAATGCAGGAGTTTACCCTTGGGTCAGCCTCTTACAGTCTGGGTCCTTCTGCTGTGACCTGGCCACACTTACACTGCCTTTTCCCTGTCCCTTCTGGCCTCAACTCCTCAGGTGCTTGTTAGCTGCATAAGCTCTGAGCTGCTTCCCCAGACACAGGACATCACCCCTAGAGTCCCCTCCCCCTTCACACACACACACACACACACACACACACACACACACACACACACAGCCTCATGCATTATTGATCTCCCGGCGGAGCCAGGATGGCCAGAACGAGTGCCAAGGGCGCCTGTGGGCACTGCCGCGGGACCTGGACAGACCTGCTCATGTTCCTGGTCACCTTTTCTCACCCCCCCCCCCCCCGCAGTGTCTCAGCCAGCCAGGGTCCTGCACCTGCTGGGCGGGAGGTGCTTCTCAGGAGCACAGAGGACTAACGTGGTAGATAGGAGCAGGGAAAAAACCCAAGGTGGTTATCCTCGGGGCACGTTTGGCGCGAGGAGGCATGGGAGGATAGGACTGCCTCAGACCTCAGTTTCCCTGTGCAGAAAATGGGAGCACAAGCTCTAGCAGCTCAGCTAATGGGCCATTTCGTATACGTTTGAAGGGTGGTCTGCAGGGCAGTTGTGGCAGAGGAGTGGCCAAGCCATAGAAGTAGGCAAAGAGATCTCAGAGGAAAAAGCAGCTGAACTGAGGAGCTCTTGCCCACCTAGTCTCTGAGTCCTTCCATCTCTTCTTGGACGTTCTTCTTTCTTTCCTCCCCAGCCCCAAGGAACTAGCATTTCCTGGATTCCTGGGGTGTATTTCCAGGGTGGAGCCATAGGCTGAGTGCTAACTTACCCCCCTAGCAGTGGCCACAGTGGTGGTTGAGTTGGGTGTTGCTGGTGAGGCCCATGGTGATGTAAAGGCATTCTGGGGGTGTGGGGTTGGCATGCGAGTGGGGGATATGGATCTTAGTGCAGGAGGGACGGACGGTGGGGAGCATGACAGCAGGGTAATACTCATGGGTCTCTCTTTTGCTTCAAGGGATCCCCCAGGACAAGGTGACACCCTTCCCTTGCCACCCTGCTCTGCCCTCCTCATCGGGGAGTACCCTCTCCTTCCTCATGGACTTCCAGGAAAGAGACACTCCCTCCCTGACTGAGAGCACTCAATCATCAAAGCCCAGCAGTACCCAGCAGGTCTGAGCAGAAAGCAGTGGCGGCTGGGCCTAGCCTGGGCCCCTGGGGGATGGGCTGAGGTGGCAGCTCACCAGCTGCCGCCCCCCCATCTACCCTGGATTTCAGGCCTCTGAGCTGTGGGAGGTGGTGGAGGATCCTCGGGGCAGACTGGGAGCAGAGGACATCATGCCCGAGAGACAGGAAGGACACCTGCTGAAGAAGAGGAAGTGGCCTCTTAAGGGCTGGCACAAGGTAGGGTGTCAGGGCAAGGGAGGAGCTACATGTGGGATCTGCTGGCCAGCCCGCGCATTCATGCGTGCTGCAGGAGAAGACAACTGTGTGTGTTTGCTCTCTCCCTACCCCGTGCTCTTGGCTGCCTGGTCCTGCTCCTTCTGTACAGAGGTACTTTGTGCTTGAGGATGGGATCCTCCACTATGCCACAACGCGACAAGACGTAAGTCAGCTTCTAGGTTGGGGGTGTGGGGGGAGCTTGTCCCAGATGTTCTGAGCAGGTGGCTTTGAGTTAGCTGGAGCAGAGTCTGAATCTCACTCAGTTCCACTTTTCAACAACCTCCGTCAAATTACTGTTGACTTTCTGCATCCTTAGGCTCCACATCTGCAGAGTCAACGATTTAAACACGCACGCGTGTGAACATACACACACATACACGCGCACACACACGCACATGTGCACATACAGACACACATACACACACATATGCACACGTGCGTACACACACACATACACATATACACACACACTTTGAAAGTATATCTGTGGAGCTGAAGAGATGGCTCAGAGATTAAGAGCACTGGTTGCTCTTCCAGAGATCCTGAGTTCAATTTCCAGCAACCACATGGTGGCTCACAGCCATCTGTAATGAGGTCTGGTACCCTCTTCTGGCTTGTAGGCATACATGGAGGCAGAATGTTGTATACATAATAAAGAAATAAATCTTTTTAAAAAGGAAGTATATTTGTACTGGACACATCGCTGTGATTCCCTAAACACTAGAATCACCATTCCCACAGCATTTATAGGGTGTTAGGTATTAGAAGTCATCTAGGAATGGCTAACGGATGCAGCGATGGTATGTAGTTTATATGTAGAAACTGTACCTTTTACCATTGGATATTAGCATGTGTGCATTTTGGTTTTCTTTGTGGCTCCTAGAACCCAAAATATCATGAGACAATTGCTTCCCTGGCCTTCAACCTCCTTCCTGCTGACACGGAGTAGGGGGCACACTCAGTCAGCCACCTGTGCCGTTGTCAGGATGATGCCCATTGCAAACTAAATGCCTAGGGGCTTTGTCGCCCTTGTCCTTGTCCCACTCTTGTGCTGGGAACAAGAAATAAAGTGGAGTCTCAGTTCCTTCCAAAGGGCGTTCTGTTTTCCACCACATAGAGCTCAAGGGGTGGCAGTATTTTTTCCTTCCTTGATGGCTTCTCAGACCTGCTCGAAGTTGGGCACAGCATAGGGTTCTGTGTACACGAGGTGATGAATGAGCCCTTTCATATATGACTTGTGGTGCTTGGCCTGTGAGTCTTGAGTGGCCTCAAGGAGATGGTGAGTCTGTGCTTCTGGGAACCTCAAACCAGTTCTGTCTCCCACCAACCCTCCACTCCAGATCGCCAAGGGGAAGCTCCATGGCTCCATTGATGTCCGGCTATCTGTCATGTCCATCAACAAA